CTTTACTCCAGGCTTGGGCTGGCTACTCGGGCCTCGGGAGGAAAGGCTGCTGGGAGAATGGAGGCTCTGGTTAGGCACTACTCTCCCACCCCTGCCCAAGGGGCCCTTTCCTGTCTCAGCTGGGTGGAGCTGGGCTTCTTGGCTGGAAGAGGAGACTCATTTTTCGGGTTGGTGTGTGGAAGGTGGGAGCCAGGTTGGGGAGAAGGGGCCGGGAAAGCTGAAAAGCCAAAAGAACAGCAAAAGAGAGAAGAGGGCTGAGAGATGGATGCTGGGCCAGGGGAACACCTAGGGGCCATCTGAGGAGCAGGTGGAAGCAGTTGGACACTGGTAAATTGGTGCAAGCGGCCCCTGTCCTAGGTGAAGCCAATTGGTTTGTTATCTTTACCCACCAAAGCATTTACTTTGGTTAGTCGCCCGATCCACAAACACTTTCGAGGAGATGACATTACCGAAAGGGAGGAACATCTGCATCAGCTCAGCGTCCCCAAACTCCTGGGGCAGATGGTAGATGAACAGGTTACAGCCCTCGGGCCCTGCGGTGAGGGGAGGGGGGTGGGCAGGGAGGAGGGATGGCGGGGTGGGGGAAGAGAGAGACAGAGGAGAGGTGAGCGAGTTAGGCAGCGCAGCAGGGAGGGGTGGGGTGAGGTTAGGAGGGAGGGGTTCATTAAGATCCAAGGGTCACCCTGAAGAGTGGGGGTTGCTGAGCCCCAAATCTAAGCTGTGGTCTCTGCTTTGCCTTTGGGTAAGTCTCTGGCCTCTCTGCCTCACTTGCCTTTTCTGTAAAATGGATCCATAACAGGGGACCTGGCAATTTTGTGGCTCCAGGGATGAAGCTGATGAGAGAATGAGGTGAACATACCAAGGCCTGGTCAGCTGTGTCCCTGGAAATGATTCCTGATGACAGGAAGGGGCGGGGAGATTTGAGGACCCCCTCTTCCTGCCCAGCCCCTGTCCTGGGGAAGGCAGAAGGTATGGCCCTAGGGCAGCCGTGGCCTGTGCTGTGATGAAATTCTTCCCTTTCTAAAGCCTCCGCAGGCCCAGCTCAGAGAGGCTCCAGCGTCACCTCCCAACTACCCTGTCCTGTACCTCACCCTTCCTGCTAGGCATGAAGACAGCAAGTAAGATGTACCCTGCTTCCTCCAGCAGGCTGTGTGACTAGCTAGGGTACCGGCAACCTCACTCCATGAAAGGGTCTTGGTTTCCTATGACAGTAACAGCCCTGCCACTTCTACAGCATGTACCTCGTGTCAGGCTGTTCTGAGCCGTGTACGCTGTCACTCCGTGCCTGCAGCAACACGGTGACTTAACCACACTGTCATCACCAGTTCACAGATAGGAAGCTGAGGCCCAGAAAGGTTAAGTCACCTGCTGAAGGACAAAAAGCTGATGATGGCGAGGGGATAGAGGAGCCAGGACATGAAACTAGGCTGTGGCCTCCACAATATGTGCTCCTCTCTTCTTATCATAAATCTCACCCCACTCCCACAGTCTGTGAGCACTGTGGAGGTCCTGGATTTCTGGAATTCCAAGAAAAGGATTTACATATTTCTTTTTAAATGGCCAAAATGCTCAATTTAACTCTCTGAAATGGAAGTCCTTCCAAGACGCGTGGTCTATTTCTGCTACTTTAAAGAGCATCTGCTACGTATCACTTAACCCTCTGAAGTGACTGTGATGGCATCCAATTTTGGTGGAATGAGAAGCAAACAGCTGCACTTAGAGCTGTGTAAGAAATGGGCTTCTGATCAGAGGCTAAAGGAAGCCTAAACCTGGGCTTAAAAGTGCAGGCTGTGAGGCACCAACATGGCCCACTATGCCGCTTTCACAGCCAGATCAAGTGTCCTGGTTTGCTGGGACCAGCGAGGCTGCCAGATAACCCAGTTCTGGGGCAGAGAACTTGCTCAGTATTTTCTCTGTCCCTTCTCTTCTTTCCCTCCTGTCTGTTCCCACCTCCTCCTTCCTCCCTCCATCTACCTCTGCCCCCTTGAGGCTCACAGTCTGTACTGAAGATTCCCCTGCCCACCAAAGCCATCCAACTGAGCCACTAACCTCCCGGGTCCCTGGATCACCCCCCACCCCACCCCCCACGAAGGCATTCTGCCAGTGGACGGCGGCGCATCTAGAATCAGGCACAAAGGCGCTCCCTCATCCCCCACTCCTGAGCTCTGGGGGTTTTCCCCTCACCCTGTCAGCTCCGACCATACTCTCTGGTGCATCCTGTGTGAACGTACCCTGACGTCTCCGGCTAGATCAGAGCAACTTGAGGCAGAAACCTGCTTTGAGTCCCAAGCTAAGTCACAGCTTCTCCAGGCTCACCCACCATCTCTCCCTGACAGTACCTCTGACCTCCCTTCTGGGGCCCAAAAGTCCATCTTCCACCCTCTGTGGATTGGGGCTTTCTCCATATCTGGGACGTTTTCTCTGACCACACTGGTCGCTACCTAGGGGAGAAGAATTTGCCTCCTCCTACCCTCCTGCCCTCTCCACCTCTGGTTCAGCACAGGTCTTCCCACCTGCCCTCATTTGGGCTTCTCTGGTGACAGCTTCACCCCATGCTGACACCACCTTGAACTTGGGGTGCTTGCTCCATGTTCAAGTTTTACAAACTGCTTCTTGAGGACATTATGTCTGTTCTCCTTGAAGAGACAAGGAGCCTTCTGAGTCAGACCAGCAACTCTAGCCCTCTGCCCTCATCAATGAGCCTGCAGCCCAGGCCCTTCCTGCAGTCCTTCATTCTAAGATTACAGAACAGTCAGAGGGCAGGACTGGCATGATGCCAGAGAACAACCTACTCCAAGCTAGAGAAGCAGTGACACAGAGCTTCAGAGACAAAAAAAAAAAAGGCTGCCCCTGACCACACTGCAGCCTCTGGCAGCCCCAGTCTGGCCTAAGGATGGTGTTGTCCCATCTGTGCAGCAGCTGACCTCAGGAGGATTTAGGATCCTGTCAATGTTCAGGCTCTGCTCAGAGACAAGGGGCTGGCTGGAGGGTTTTCCCCAGCAACCAGTGTGTTCTAATATTCAGTGGCATTCCACAGGGAAAGGTGACCATGATGTATTGGCAAGGCCATGGCAATGTAGCTCTTTCTCATCTTGTCCCCAGACAACCATGGAGTACTGCTTTGGTCTGACTCCAATCCACCTCTCTGCTGCCTGTCTCCCCTGCCCCAGGCTCACCTTATGCTCATGCTTGGTAGCAATCTTTTCTCCTGCTGTGTCCTGTCTAGAACACCCACATCCCACTCTATATGCTAGAGACCCCTCCTTCTTCCAGGCCATCTCAGCCTGCCCCAGAAACCCACCCTATATCATGATCCCACATGTGGTTGAAGCATAGTATTATTGGTATCAAGCCCTACCTCTCCCTATTCCCTGCTCCCCTGGGGTAGCACAGCCTATGCATTATGGCCAAGGAGAAAGGGGGACCATGAGAAATCCCTTGCCTTGAGGAGAGGGAGTAAGGACTGGTCCACAGGGCTGGTCCAGGGAGCAGGGTGCCCAGGTTTGTGTGTTTTGTTTATGTGTGTTGTCTGAAGCTTCTCCAAGATGGAGAAGGCATGAGGAGGAGTTCTGAGCTGGATGCACGGGATGGTAAAGAACAGGAGGTGGAAAGGAGGACAGGAGGCAGGTGGGGGCCTGACTTTAAGGCCAGCAGTTTTCTGGGCAGGGTGGCACTGACCTGTAGCTGTTTCTCAGCATATGTGTGTATGTGTATGTGTGTGTGTGTGTGTGTGTGTGCATGCGTGCACGTGTGTGGTAGGGTATAGAGACTGATGAGACCACAGGCTATAGAGACATAGGCTAGAAGCCAACAGGATGACACTGGCAGTACCAGGGTGTGTGGGCACAGTTCTCAGTTCTCTGCTCTCAGCCTGGACTGGGAGTCTTAGACCACCACCTATGTTAATGAAAGCTTGGTCTGGAAGAGGTCCAGGCCCTAAGCTCCCACCCAGGGAAAAGTCCCCTGGGGAAGGAGAGCTCATTGGCCACCTCCCATCCACTTCACTTTCTGATAGAGAAACCAGGTACTACTCAGCTGTAGCAAGGGCCTCATGTGGGTAGGAACCCTCTAAGTACACTACTAGGTTATTACGACTGGGCTCTCCTGGGGATGGGAAGATCTGATGACCCAGGTCTCCAGAGCTTCCTAATGAATGTGAGCTGGAGTGGCACGCCTCATGAATAGCTTTTAGGAGGAGACAATCTGGTAGAAGAGGGCAGTGTGTAGATCAGGTACTTGTACTTTAGGGGGCAGACTAAGCAGTCTGACCCTCACACCTCTCCAGGGAATGTTCCTCACTCTTCTCAGTTTACTGGTGAGGACACTAAGGCCAAGGAGGTGAGGTGATCTGTCTAGGGTCACATGGAGAGGACATGGCAAAGGTAGAAGTCAGACTCAGAAGGTTGCTTCAAAGCCCAGGCTCTCAGTTGCTCAGCCTGTCAGGGGACTATTGCACCAAAGGAGTTGGGACTAGCAGATGCCCAAGGTCTTTTTTTGAGTAACCTACATCCTAGGGTTCCAGGTCAGTCTGCTTACAGGAGCCATAAGTCAGGCATCTGAAGACCACTGGAACTCCCTACTACCCAAGCCAGTGGATCTTGCCTGCTCTGCTCAGTTCACACCAGCACCTTTGGATGTGGCTTTTCAGAACAGCCTCCTCCCACTCCCGCTTCACTAGACCTGCACTGGGGCACTCCCAACCTTATGCCTAGGCCTGCCAATGGAATACTACTGGGAGCTTCACATGTGTCTCCTGGTTACCAGAATGCACAACCACTCCTGTCCAGAAGAATCTAACCCCTTTAGCTGCCTCCCCAGCCATGAGCACTCACTCATTCCTCCCTCTCCTCCCCTCTGGCCGATCCTGCCCATCTCCTGCAGGACTTCATTTCCCTGAGCACTTCAGACAATTCACCCTTCCCTTCTCAATGCCTAAAGCTATGAGCTGGTGCTGCAAAAGTCACTGCATTGTTGGAGGGTCAGCTCCCACCCAGCTAATACCCTTAGCTCCTTGGGAACACAGGGGTGGGACCTCAGAAAAAGACTCCAAGGAAGACCTCAATCTCCTGGCAATCCTCAGCGCAAAGGGAAGGCCTCCATTGGAAAACACACACCTAACTTGGCTAGGTTCTCTTTCAGGGCTAGTTCAAGGGCTTGTTAGGGAAGGAACATATTTCCAACCTTTCTCACTGACTTTTTAAAGACCAAGATATCAGTTTGTGAGCTGTACCAGAGCAGCAGTAAATGATGGAGGGGAGTGAGAAAGCTGAGTGGCCTGTCAGTGCCTTCAGGGCAATCTGTCCATTCCCCTACCTCTGGGCCGGTATGCCACTCTGGTCTGTAGAACTGCCCACAAGCTGCACACCTCCATTTGTGGGTAGGAGAGCGGAAAAGTGCCTCATCTCAATCCTGCTACATTCCCCCACCCACCTCCAGAAATACACACACACAGATGTTTTCCAGCCAAAGGCCAAGCCAGAGACCGAGGTGAAGCCAAAGGCCCAGGTGGGACAAGGTAGCCCCTTGGGGACAGAGGGAAGGGAGGGGCTGAGACTCACCTTCTCTCTGTTGCTGGGGAATCATTGGCGGTGGCTGAGGGAAGGCCTGGCTTATCTGACCATAGGCAGCAGGGTAGGCAGCTGCTGGAGGGCCACAGAGAGGAGACGTGAAGGCAGCAAAGGACGCAGAAACACACGGACATGGTGAGAGGCAGGAACAAAGAGAGATTTCAGTGGGTAGTGAAGACTGACCAATCACAAGGTACATGTCACCTTGGCCACTTCAGAGAAACTTTCAGTTTTCAGTACTACTGAAAGCTAAGGGACGTGACCAGCAGAGATCTGTGAGCATGCGTGCTTGAGAGCATGCGCACATACGTGCGTGCGTGCGTATGTGCGTGCATGTATGAGAGCATGTGTTTCTGCTCGCGTACGTGGGTGCGTGCATGCGTGGCGGTGTGCGTTCGTGCGTGTGCGCGAGTGTGTGTATGTGTGGGGGGCAGGCAAATTTAATCTGGGACAGGGGACAGCTGTAGTTTACCTCACTCACAGCTACTCAGATGGCAGTGGGAGGTGGGGAGCCGCTGAGGCGTGGACTTGGCTTTCGGCGAGCCTGCCAGAGCTAGGACTCAGCGGCAGAGGACTGAGTAGGACACCTGGTGTTTTCTGTGTTTGGTTCGTAATGGTCAGAGCTAGGACAAGAATAGCCTGCTCCCTCCTCAGCCTGGCCTGGCTCCCACACCCTGGGACCTGAGAGAGCTACCCCTGCGCTTCACAGCGTCCTGAGTTCTACCTTGCCAGGCAGCCTCAGCACTCTCAGGAAAGACAGGACTGACTCAAGACAGTGAAGAGGAATCCTGACCAGTCAGACAACGGGGCACAAGCTGGGTGGGCATGAATATGGGGTACTGCCCAGCCCAGGCATGGGAGAAAGGGAGACACTTGGCTGATGGCTGGGCTCAGTGACCTCGGGCCATCTGCTGGCCCCAGGCTATCTTTTCTCATCTCTCCTTTTTTTCTACCGTGGGCTGCTTCTTCTGACTCCCTGTCATGTTTCCTTGGCCGGATGAGCAGAATACCCTCTTCTCAAACCCAGGCATCTGTGCTTTCTGGGCCAGGACCCCAGGGCCAGACAGGCTCCCAGTACTGCTGTGTGCAGCTTGGGGCTCCTAGGAAAACTAGCCCTAGAAGTACCATGGGAAAGGGAAATCCGGCCCTCAAGACAAGTTGCTGCACAACAAGGACAAAAGCTTCAGCCTGGCTCACCAATTCTGCCCACCTACCACCCGCCATGTTGGGAAAACTCTGCCTACAAGCTAAAGGAAGCAGCCCAGACAGGATGGGTATGTGGAGTTGGATGGGAGCGTCCCTGCCAGCATAGCCCTCCCTCCTTCCACTGAGGCCACTGCCACTCCTTCTTCCCACCCATGCAGCTCTGGGCCCAGGTTTGAGGTGAAAAGGGGGCACTGGTGTCATGGGCATGGAGAGATGAACACAGCCAGGGAAAGATCTGAGAGGACGTGCGGATACTAACGACCTGCGTACTGCTGCACTCCGGCGTAGGCCTGCTGCAGGGGGTCCGCGGCGGTGGGGCTCTGTGCTGCAGGGGAGCCAAGGTGCAGAGGTCAGTGTTGCCCACCCAATATACCCTTGACCCACCATGCATCAACACTATGGCTACACTCCTCTTTCCAACCACTTCAGGCAGAGCATCTGGGACAGGGACTCTGAGTGCTGGGTCTGATGGAAAGTCATCGTTCTGTGCCCAGAGCCCTTAGTAAGATATAGGTTGCCCACCTTAGCTGGGGGATACAGGGTGTAGCTGGCCTGGCTTAAGGGAGATGAGGTTCATTCAGAAGACTGTGAAGACTGGGCAGGAGATACCAGAGGAAGGCTCAACCACGGGGGCCCTGGTGGGGACACACATGAGGGACCCAGCCCTGAGGAGGGGCTGGTGGCTGTCAGAAGGGAGGCTTGTCCTCATTGATCCTCAGCAGAAGTCAAAAGCAGGGAATAAGAGAAAAGCCTGGCAGAGCCCATCTAGGTGAAAAAAAGGTGACAGGAGGCTTTACCCTGCCACTCTGTCCCCTGGGCCACCCACCCCTGCCAAGGACTCATCCCTCATTCTAGGGAATGTGCCTATGCCATGGCCTTGCTGCAGACTCACCCATCAGGGACTGGCCTGACAGGTGGCATCTGCCCGACAGGCTGGGAAAAGTGCACTGTTTACAGAAACCCAGGAGCCAGAAGGCCAAGGATTCACACACACACACACACACACACACACACACACACACACACACACACGACCTATGGCTCTGGGATGTTTACCACTCAGCACAATGAAAGGACCCTTGAGCTCAGAGTTTGACAAGAAACGGAGCTGAGGTGGGGGAAAAGCTTGATTCACATCCATAGCTTTTGTGCTCTGAGTAGCTGTGGGCACAAAGCCTGAAGCACGGACCAGCACTCTGCACAGCCTTTGGTGGCCAAGGTCAGGGATGATGGACATGGGAGTAGGCTGGCCTTGGAAGCTCAGAGAGGCAAGTGACGACAGATGCTAACCTATCAGGGCCCAGCCCTGGTATGTTAGGGCAAACTGGGTAACACAGGCTGGCAAGAAGTCAACCCTCAGGGCTCATCTGCCTGTTGATCCAGGCCAGTCAAGTTAACTGGCTATGCTAGGATTTGGGGCTTTGAGGCCAGGAAGAATTCCCCACTTCCCTTTTGAGCACTTGTCTCTGAGTCTTTGGTAAAATTCCATTAGGAAATAGTTCTTAGACTTAAGGGGAGCCCAGGGAGAGGGGGATCCAGGGGCAGAGGTCCTTGGAGACAGTGGGTGGCAGGTCTGATAATTCCTGGGAGCCAGGATCCAGCAAGGGAGCCTGCCCCAAGGGACTATGCTCAATACAGAAGGGCTAAAGATGAGGAATGAGGCAAGCTCTTTTCTGCCTGTAGCTGTGCCAGGCTGATACCTTGCTCCTGCATTCCCCAAGCTGGGGCCTCAATCCTAGAGCTCCTCACTGTGATATGCCCGACAGTGGTCTCTTTCTGCTTTCTGCTCCCTCTGCTGGTCTATTCTGCTAGTCCTTGAGCTCTTCGGAGAGACAGCCACGTCCTCTTCCTCACCCACGCAATGCTTTTTATGAAAATTAGAAGTGACCCTTGCTCCAGGCACACAGTCTGGTGCCTTCCTGCAAATCACAACCTGTACAACTTGCACGGCAGTTGTCTAGCACAGAATAAGTGCTCAGCAAATAGCGTGGCTGAAGGAATGAATGAACAGTCTCCCATGTTTGTGAGAGCCATGATTTCAAGGGTGTAATGTGACAATAAAGGCCACACTGTGTGCTTCCAATATGCTCTCAGTGAGCAAAAGAGGAAAACAGAGAAGCTATCTGGGGCTAGGAAGCGGAGAAAAGCACTCACAAGACCCTCTCTACTTCTTTGCTTAATGACCTCATTAGTAACTGCCAAAGAGTGAACATTTTGAAGGATCTCGCTCATTACAGCAGCTCCAAACTCCGCATTTAAAGATGGTAAATTAATTTTTTTAATGTACTACTTTTCTCCTTTCCTTCCCTCCATCCCTCCTCTTGCTCTGGCAGGAAATTGTTTATGGGATGTGGCAGATTGTTACAAATGGGGGAAAGATACATTTCCAAATTCCATGAGGGAAATAGCTCACAGATGCTGGCGGGGGCAGGGAAAGAACAGGTTTGTCAGAATCCAGAGATCCAGATGGGCTTGGAGGCAGGGAGGAGAGGAGAAAGAAGCCACCCAGATGTGCTGGGGTGGCATCGCTCAGACCCATGAGCCGAGATTGGTGGGCCACTTCTACTTCCAGCTTGCTAAGCCTCTCACTTGCTGCCTCTACCGGCCTGGAGTCTTCACCCTTAAACAACACTCCAGATCCTCTGAGCCTACCACATCACTCTCTAGACACCCCGGGGCTGCTTTTCTATGAACTGAGAGTTGCACTGAGGCCAGCACTAGAACAAGTGAGATCAAGAACAAGTCCATGTTCAGACTCCTCCTCTATTTCCCTCTAGTACAGGGACCTGGCACTGTGCTGCTGGTGGAACTTCTATATACCACCAATGTCTGGGCTGCACTCCAGTGAAATCAGAATCTCTGGCCTCTGTGGTCCTTATCAAGCTCCACAATGAATTCTATGGGCACTCAAAAGTGGGGAGCACAACTACCCATCCTGTAGGTCTACTCAGGCTCGGCTGCTTGTCCTTACTAGGTCAACCTCCTACTACTCTTACCTCTGCTGGGTCCTGCTCCTGGGTCTCCAGGACAGCCCCTGACCCAGGAGTGTGCTCCTCATTCACCCTCATCTCTCCATTTCCTGCCCATCTGTTAAAGTCTGATCTAAGCCTCCTGTTCAGGGAGGCTCATTAAAGCTTCTTTAGCCTACACAGCTCTCCCCTCGTTTGAAACTTTTGGCGTATTAGGTCTGAAAACACTCTTTTTTATTTGTTAATACTGGGGAATGAACCCAGTGCCTTCACGATGAGCTACATCCCCAGCCCATTTTTTATTTTTAAATTTTGAGACAGGATCTCACTACATTGCCAAGGCTGGGCCTGAACTTTTGATCTTCCTGCCTCAAACTCCCAGGGTGCTGGGATTCCAGGCATGCACTACCATGCCTGGCCAAGAACATTCACTGTTGACCAAACTTTGTTTTGTCTTATTGTGTCATCATTCTGTGGCTTGATATGTTCCTGACTGGAATCTGACCTCCTGACTGGAATCTGGCCTCACATCCTGCCCTCCTCCTGGGACCCTTCTTTCATCTAATACTGATGTGGACCTATAACCTTGTCCTCTGTCCTCCAGGAAGGGCATAATACTCTTCATATCTCTATCACATTGTCTCTTGCTAGTCAAGGACTTTGCGCCCAGCCTCTGTCCCCTAATATCAGTTCATCCTCTCAGAGCAGAGCTGCTTTAGGTCAATTGCATACTCACTACGTGGGAAAAGCTAAGTGAGAGCAGCAAAGTTTATTAAAACAAGTCTTCTAGATTTTCCAGCACACCACACTTCATGAAACACAGGCCCAGGGGCTGTCCAAGGTACTGGGCTGCTGCCCAAAGAGCTGACCAGGGATTTGGGTGCACCAAAGAACAGGGCTGGCATGCGCTAGCTAGTCTTCCAATCATCACACCTCCACTTCCTTCTTCAGTGAGTCTTTTCCTACCTAACACTAAATCTTATTATTCTTTTAGTTTCTAACACTTAATTCTTATAGCTCAGTTTGCAGTTACTAGCCTCTCTGCCTGGTCATCCAAGTGTGTCCAGTATTTTTTCTTCCCAAAGGGACCCCTCCTCAAGGGTGGGATTTTGGTCTCTTCTTTCCTACCACAGGTTTCCTGAAACGAGGCAGGTGGCTAACCCTCTTTGACACATTTAGGCTTCCACCAAGGAACAGAGGGCCGTAGCTACACATTCCCTGTTATAACAGCAAGTGCAGGGACAGAATAGAGAAGAGTGTGCTGCATGGGGAAGGAAAGCCTACAAGATGTGCTTACCTGGGTAGGGGTGGATGCCATTGGCAAAAACAGCTTCTGCAGCGGGTTGCCCATTGGCCTGTGGGGGGAGGCCAGTGAAGCCGTTCACCCCAATGGGGGATGGGATGCTAGGCACAGCTGGTGCAGTGATGCCTGGAGGGGTGCTGCCACCTGGTTTCAAGAACACAGAGGGGTTGGAGAAGGGGGAGGCAACAGAACAAAGGTGAGAAGGCCAAATCATTGAGCTTGAATTATGCCTGGGATTATCTTTGTGTATGAACTGGCTTTGCTCATCTCTTTATTAGGATCTTGTACCTTCACATGACAGGTCTTGGTTCTCATTTTTTCCTCTTGTCCCTGCCCTCCCTTCACCCCCTCCTCCTCCCCCCATTTACAAACACTTTATTTCCATTTTTTCATTTTCTCCTATTTTTTTCTTTTCCCTTATTACCTTTCCCCCACCCTTCCCACTTTCCCTACACCTTTCGCCCCTTTCTTCCTATTTCACATTGTTAATTATCTCATTAGGATCTTATGTGCTATTATAGTTTGTTCACACCAGAGAAACTATTTGGTATTTACACATGTGTGACTTATGTATTTCATTTAGGAGTATATCCTCAATATGCATCCATTTTCCTATGAATGAATCTAATTTCTCATTCTTTATGGCTGAGTAGTATTCCATTTTATAGAAAAACCACATCTTCTTTATCCAGTTTCCAGCCGATGCCCATCTCAATTGAATCCATCTTTGAAGGGCAGAGTCCAGGTCTCATTTACTCCATAAAAACCACAGATGGCTTGTCCTTGAACCTATAACACACAGACTATTCTCAATGCCCTTGATTTTATCCACATTTGGCCAGCCCTCCTTCATTCTTCTTCAGTGGCTTTTGCTCACTCCAGTTATGTCAGGACTGGCTGCTCCTTGTTTGTCTCACAAACAAACAGCTGATCTGCTTCCTTGGAATTTTTGCTGCTCAGATATAGCAGGTTCTCTTGCACTAAGAGAAAGACGTCATGGCACAGTCCAGTGTCTGTCCTATCTCATGCACAAAGTAGACACCTAGGCCTGCTGCAATTAACCACTAGTGGTATAGTCAGTGTGGTGAGAGTAAAGTTGGGGTCAGATGACAATTCCCTCTGTTTTCCCTATTCAAAATAGTAAAACCCAAGATGTGGATGGTATGGTGACTGTTCTGAGGCCCCCGAGGCTGGAAAGAGCCTTTCTCTTCATGTAAAAAAAAATCTGATGTCCCTGAGCACAAGACCTTGATTCTGGCCCGCTGCCAGGCTCATGAGTGGCCCTGAGCTTGGAAACCAGAGGGATGTGGGTAGTGCTCAAGCTGGGCCCAGAGGTGGCATAGTCATTCCTGGCTTTTAGCTGAGAAAGGACAGCTCCTGCATGTTCAAGTTGATGCTACAGTCTGGGCACAAACAACCAGGAAAGCTTAGTGAATGACAGCCTGGGGTGTTGGATCAGCCCTTGGAACTAAAAAAGGTTTCCTCAGCTTTAACACTAGGTCATTTGGGGGCAGGTATTTCCTTGTTTGGGGGAATTGTCATGTGCCTGGTAGAATGTATAGCAATATTCTTGGCTTCTACCACTGGATTATAGCAGCATTCCCCACTCCCAGTTGTGACAAACAAAAAAACTCTGGACATTACCAGATGCCCTAGCAGTGGGGAATAAAATACACCAGTTGAGAATCACAAGACTGGACAATAACCAAGAGCCAATCAAAAGCATACTTTGTGACTGGGTTATTTACAACCCCTGCCTATTGAGATGGCTCTTATGGTATTCTAGCTGGTTATCCAGTTATCTGGGAAAAGAAAAATGAAAATGGGGCTGGCTCCTACAGAGCTGGAGTAAGGGACTTAACCAGGCCACTGAATGAGCAGGACTCTTCTTCCTTAGATCTTGAAGGAAGAGCTTTACATATCAGCTTCATTCCAGATAGTGACTGTTGATAGATCAAGATGGATTATTTCCTAAAAATTCATGGACAAACAATTTGAGACAAATTCCCACCACCCTGAATCCTATCACAGATTCGGTCCGTGCAGAATGATATCACATCTTCTTATCTTTCCTTGAGTCATCCCAAAATAGAACATTCGGAGACACAATGCCAAGCAGGACAAGGCCTCTTGGGTCCAAACACCATGTGCTCTTGCCCCAAGATGATCCACTGGTAGCTGAAATTAAGCTCCACCCCAAGCTTGGCCTGTAGTGGTACCTGCTGTCTCACCTGAGGTTGGGGTCATAGGTGCGGCCGCCAGGCCGTTCATGTTGAGGGCCGCCATCTGCTGCATCTGGGCGGCAGCGAAGGCAGCCATGGGGTTCAGGTAGCCACCCTGTGCAACTGATGCCATGAGGGCTGCTTGCTGCTGCATCAGCTGGGGCAGAGGGAGTGGAAAAAATATCACGTGCTTCCAGGAGGCATCCCTCCCCACCAGGGGACTCAGCTCCTGGAGAACAATTTCCCAGGCCCTGAGCCCCAGGGAGCCTGAATAGTGCCTTGGCCATCACCCCGAGTCCTGATGTCACCCTCAGTCCGCTTTGGTCATTAAGGGCCATCTTCTTAGGAGATGTCTGCATTCAAGGGTAATATTAGGGTCTTTAGGGCTCTAATGTTCTAGAGGGTGAGGGAAGAGGACTGCTCCATGGATAAGTCCTACCATTGGTGGGGACGTGATACCCAAAGTGCTATGGGCACGTTGAATGAGCCTATACGGCATTAATAGCATAGGCTTCTGCTCCAAATGGTTATGGCGTCTACTGAGTAGAAGAGACAGAATCATGAACAGCGTCTGGGCACTGCTGATGCTAAACCAAGGTGAGAGGGGACAGGGGAGGTTGTTGGAGGAGGCCAAAGCTGGACACTGCTGAGGAAATGAAGTGAGCTTGCATGTTTAGAACCAGAGCCATAGTATTCCTCACTGCCACCACGTGGGGACTGTGATTACCAGTCTGGAGGCAGCTCAGTGAGACGCTGTGAGAGTTTGCTCAACTGTGGGAGAGAGGTGAGCAAGAGGTAGGACCTGAGGAGATTGCAGGGGAAGTATGGGTGTGAGAGCTTTGGGTCACTCAACAGGATCTCTGCCAGGAGGGACTGGAAGGGCTGAGCCACCCTTCCTTGAGAAGAGGCATGGGTGGTGATGAGGACCCAAACATCTGAACCTCCCATGTCACACCAGTGCTTCCTAGGGTTCAGTACTGATGAGGCAAAGGGAGGGGGGTACTCCGGGCATCCCACCTCGCTGCCCTGCCAGGGGCCTTCTCTCTTACACTCTTAAGAACCAGGAAAGCAGCTCACCTTCTGCTGGCAGTTACCCACAACTGGACTGCCCTTCCCCAAGGTTACACTTTTAACCTTCTGAGGTTATGCTCTCTGGGCTTATGTTCGCCTCTTCACTCAAAGAGCAGAGTACTATTTTTGGTTAAATGCCCCTGTTTTCTGGGGATCCCCAGGGAGTGAGGACCCTCCACAGCCACCACCCATCCCTGCCCCCACTTACTGCCTGAGCATAGGCGCCGTAAGCCCCGAAGGGGATGGCCATGGGGTTGAACATGCCCATCTGGCCAGCCATCTGCTGCATTCGCCGCATCGTGCGCTCCTTGTCAGTGTCCGCGAACTTGACCACCAGACTGGATGAGGCTCCCTGTAGCCAGGGCAGCACATGAGACCCACCTGGCTGAGCGCTCTACAACCCGCCTCCCAGCTGTCGGTGCCACTGGCCTGTCCTTAGGGATGGGCAAGAGTTTGAGGCCTCAACCCACTGCGGGCATTTTCTATCTGGAGGCCCCCCAGACAATTCCTTAACATATCCTTGGGCCTCAGTGTCCTTGTCTGAGAAACAGAATGCTTTCCGGTCTCATTCAGAGGGTGGGAGAACGGCTCTGCCACAGCCAGGTCCTGGAGAGGGGGGTCTTGGTAGCCGCTGCCCAGCTCCGCCCGAAGGGCCGCACTCACCGGCATGGTCTGGCTGCCATGCAGAGCGTTGATGGCGGCTTGTGCCTCGGCGTGGGAGGAGTACTTCACGAAGGCGCACCCTGCGGGGACAAGACAGGCTGAGCCACGCCCCAGGGCTCAGAGGGGGCTGGGACCCAGAGGTCCATAAGGGGGAGCGCGTCCCAGGTGAGAGGAGAACAGGTGAGACAGAGAGCAAGAGATACAGCCACGCAGCACTAAAAACACTCATAAGCCCGCTTAGCAGTCAGGACTCGGACCATCTGGGCCTCCCGGGCACCCGCCCAAGGCTCCCTCCTGGTCTCCCACGCACCCTTGCTGTTGCCGTCCGGCCCGCGCAGGATGGTGCACTCTTCGATGTTCCCAAAGGCCTCGAAGAGGCGGCGCACATCGTCCTCGGACTGCTGCTTATTGAGCATGCCCACGAAGAGTTTTCTATCTTCTAGAACAAAATTAGGAGATGCTTACCCGGGCCAAGGTTCGGGCATCACCAGAATAGGCCCGGGGAAGGAGGGCAAGGCGGGAGGGAAAGGGCAGCGGGAGAAGGCGGGAGCTGGGCGAGCGGGGCGGGACTCATAGCTGGGGAGGCGGGGCAGCGGGGAGGGGAGGAGCTGG